AGCTATTTTTCCCTTAAACACTGAAAGTACGCCTATCCCTGAAGCGCGATGACAACTGAGAAAATGTTTTTTAATAAATTGAAATCATTTTAAAGGCTACAACTTTGTTAACAGCTTTTCTAACTCCCCTTATTCTTTTGTAGTAGAATAAATGAACTATTTTTTAAGTTGACGGTATTCTGCTTCGACTCATAGTGGCGATATAACCCGCAAGACTTGATAATAAATGTTATTATCGTCGCTCCCTCTAATAAGAATAAAAATACTTTGTGAATGTTAGTAAGTTTGTTGGATCAGTTTCTGAAATTTGTTGGTTTGTGTTGAGTTTGATAACTTCTAGCATGACAGGTGCTACAAATTTCTTAAAAGATTCTTTTAGGCTACCGGCTATTTCCATCTAACAGTAAACTCTCAAGTTATCGCAAAGTACTTTGAATAGTTTGAGGCGATTGTCACCGGAAATACAGACAAATATAATTCGTACCAGTTTTTGCGGTGTACACATAAAGACCGCTAATGCTTATTGTAACCTCGCTGAGTAAGAGTAGGTATTCAACTGCTTAATTTTCAATCTCACCCTCGTTTTCGCTACTGAAAGCACCCGTCATTATCGAACTCTCTTTGTGTGATATATCTATACAACTTATTTTGTAAGTAAAGAGCACAAGCTATACTAAACGTTATGATAATCAATTTTAAGCTTAAAAGAAGGGGCAAAGTTATCTTATTTTTATAAACAGCTTATTCTATTGTAGTAGCAGCATGAACCAATATACAAACCTTTAGTAAAAAGAAAGAAAGGTAAAACCATTGAAAAATTTTATAGGACACAATTGATTTTATGAGAAGTTGTTATAAAATAGGAAATTTTTATAATATTAATAAAAATAGAAGTTGTGGATATTTATGTGCCACCCCGTCGGTTCTGCGAGGAAATCAGTATAAATTTTATTAGTTAAAATAAATTTCGAGTATTGTTAAACTTAATAAACAATGTGTTTTTTCAAATTAAGATAATATGGGCTTTACAAAATTTTATATTAAAAAGCTAACTTTAATAGTTTTGTAATTTTTTTCTATACGTACACTATATATTTCGAAAAGAATTCTTTCAAAAAAAATTTTTTATTTATCACAATTTATAAATTCGTATTATTTTAAATAAATAGTTACTTCAATGAACTTTGATCACAGTGCTGTAAGAGTCAGCTACTATTCAAAGATCACCCTGTTTAGGCAACGGTGTAAGTTGACTTCTGAATAGGAAGACTGGGTGCTGTTTTGTGTCTTTGATTGTTGGCATTACCTCGGTGCTTTCGTCCTTTGCCGAACTTCTTCATGGGCCCGAGGATTGATTTCTGTTCATGGGCTCAGGTCGTAAAGCAGTCAAAAAGGATTGGCCCTATATCGCAACTCGCGTCTCTCATGAATGTTAATATCCGATTATATTTCTTTACGTATTAAGTTTATCTACTTTATTAATTAATTTATATTGAATTATTTATATTACATTCTAATTAAAATTTTATATTATATTAAAATTAAGATTTATATTTATTAATTTTTATTATATTTTTATTTTATTAAAGTTCTAACTTAGTAAAACAAAACAACTCACTAAAAATCTAGAAATTCTATTTCACTAAAATGCTCTACTAAAGTAGAACGAAAAAAAATGCAAGGTTCTACTTTGGTAGAACAAAACAAACAACACCGATTTTCAATATAGCTCACTAGGAAAAAAAAACTTAAATAGTCTACTAAAAAACGATTAAATATTTTATTGTAAAAAAATTAAGTTAATGTTATTTAATAATTTATAATTTTAATTTTAGGAAATTAATTTGCAAGTTCAGAGTAAAGCCAAGGTATTTTTGACTACGACTTTTAAGTGCCTAAAAACAATATAATTACTAAAATTTGGGAACGAAAGATTTCAAAAAATTAACTAATATATAAAATTAAAATTATATTAAAAATAGTCATATTATAATTCAAAGTTAAGTAATAATAAAGAAATTGTATAGAGTTAATAAATCTACTTTCTACTTATAATTTGCTCGCCAGCTAGCTTTCTGGTGCACATTAAAATTATATATATATATATCATGTTAAGTTTATATATATATATTTTAATTTTTTTAATTTAGTTATTTTTTATTAACTTTATATATATATATACAATTAATTTATCTATATACATATATATTTTAATTTATAGGTTAATTTATTATTTCTTCGTTTTCTTTTTTTATTATACTTATAAAGTATGTTTACTATTTAAAGACATCTTAAATTTTATTGTTAATACTATTATCAAATTTAGTTTTTAATATTAGGAGTAGTTCATCTTTTCATTTTTTAATAACTTTTCATAAGCACGCATGGTGGCCACACGTCACGTACAACCATGGCGGATTGAGCTTTTTTAACGTTTACTTTGCGCCAGAAGAAAACTGTGGTGCCACGCTTGTATGCGTTATGGATCTGGCCAATCATAACATCTGAGTCACTGACTTATACCCTCCTCCCTGCACCTGAGTCAAAATACTGGCCCAGCCTAATGATGGACGCGCCCTAGACTATATTAGATCTCGATACCTAACTAATTGATTTTCTGCCCCCTTGGGTGGACATCAATTTTTTGGAGTGGTGTGAAGTCTAACAGATTATTCAAAAAACGATACTATATATCGTTGCTAATTAATCATTTCATCAAACCAAATAGTACTTGAAAAACAGCTGTAACTAATTTTACTTTGTTAAATATTTTACTAAAATTATAATTTATATTTTTCCAAAATAGAAATATTAAAGAAATAATAATAAAAATACTAATATCACAATTTTTCATGATAAATTTACTCTTAAATAAAATTTATATAATAATTTAAATTTAAATTTTTTAAATTGAATTTTTTTATTAAAAGAATTTTAATATAAAAATGCTAGTTCAGCGTAGTAATAAAAATAATTTGCCTAACATCTTCGCATACGTTGATCACAGATCAGTAAGTGGCTTGTGCGCTTTTGGAAGGTAACATTCGAAACTGTTCAAGTGCTATCTTTTGCTATGTTAGTACTTGAGGGACTTTGTAAGCTTATGTTATGTGGAAAACTATGCAATACCTAAGCTCTTTATATATTAAGGTGATGGATAGTTAATTTAAATACTTTGTTAGTGATACTTCTGCTCTGAATATCAGATATTTTTTAAGCTTTACTGATTAAACATTTAAAAGTATTGTTGATGTAAATTTTTAAAAACTAGCAAGTTAAATTTTACAGTTAAATAATAATGCTATTGAAGAGTGCAAGTATGAGGGTGCAGGAATAAGATGGGTATACTTGTAAAGAGGTAAGAGAGTTGAATGCAATTTTGTCTCTTTAGGCAAGCGCTCCTGGTTGGTACTACTTACTGTTGGGTGTGAAGAATCTGGAAAGTTTGGTTTTAGGTTGGTGAGTGATACTGAATCTGATGGTGAGAAGAAAGGAAAGGGATGCGTCTGTTTTTTAATTTAAACGGGAAAAGGAACAGTGACTTTATTGGGTAACTACAATCACCGGTGAGTACAATAAAGAATAAAAAGTGTAAAATTTTTTATTTTCATCAAATTTTATAGATAATAAAATTTAACAAACCGCGATTTAGTATAAATAAAAGAAGAGAAACAGTGTTCACCATGGAGCTCGCAAGTGGTGGTTACAACCTTTTCATTCGAGGGTGCGCCCGTTAATTCTATTACTTGGAAACCGTTATGATCCTTTAATGAGCTAAGTTTCTCAAATGCTGCAATTTTGTATATATTTTTATTAATAGAGCTCATCGCTTTAGTAAAAGTTAGTTGTGGGCCAAAAATCAGTGGCCGTTTTTATCTTAGAAGGGACACCAGTAAATTTCTGTAACTTTCTTTTTGTGGCCTCAGACCTTTTCAAGTAGTATTTCGTGTTCCTATAATGAGGTGTCCGGCCTACTAACATAAAATATAACTATTACTTTTGCGTAGACTGTGAATTCTTCCATGCCATTCGTCACATCCCGTTAGCGAAAAGTTATGTGGTAGTTCTGAGCGTAAAATTTTTGGTATAACTTGTCTTGTTTGTATTGTTAACGGAAAAAATTGATGATTGTATTCTACACTTAGTCTAGTTTTGGTTTGTAGTAGGACTTCTAGAACGTAACGATAGTCGACAGAGCGAGTATTGTTGCTAATATTGTTCCCAAAAATGGTATCACACTTGTATTCAGGTCCCACTTTATGTAAAAAGCTAAAATTTTATGAAGATTAGTTAACTTTTTAATATGCGGGACAGAATTGTCAATAGACCGAAATATCTCGACTTGTCTCGAACAAAATGCTAGTCTGTTGACAAATAGTTGACCTGTTTCTTTGTTTCATTGTTTTTTTTTGGAAAAAATACAGAGGTCGTGAATTTTATGCTTATAGGTATAGGGCGGGTCAGCCAAAGCGTCTTCAACGTTATAAACATGCAAGTTCAGATTCTGTGCCTTAAAGTTCCTTAATTCTACTTTTCTATTTCTGTGTGAAGGCTGCAGTAGGTTATCAGAGTTCTAAGAGCCATTTTTCTTAATTTTTCACACTTAGGAACCTCGGGATGGTCAATTTTTGCTTGTGAAAAAGATATTGTGTATTTCATGGGTTGTTAAGACTAATTTGATTTAAATATCCATGGACGAAGTTAGAAGGTATTTTTGAGTAAAGGACCTTGCCACAATGGTTTAAATATAAGTTTCTTCTAAAGTAAGAAAAAAAAAATTATAAAGGGAAGAAGGGAATAATAAATAAGAACTTTATGATAAAGGTACAAATAAATAGTTAGAAGTAAAGAAACATAAAATTTTAATAGGTGCTAATAACGTAACAATTTATAACTAGTGAAGCATTAAAAATTTATTAAGCTGAAAGTTTTGTATTAATAGTTTTCCTATTACTTTGGAACTTTTTCTTTTATATCCTGAGGGTTTGATGTGTTTGAAACACTTAGAAACCTTGCAGGAGGTCACAATGCAGCTATCCTTTTGTGGGTTAATCACAACTGTTGTGCTTTGAAAACCCAGGATGCTAGGTTCTTTTTGTGTGTTATTTCTTATTAGTATTAACAATTCGCTGAAGGGCAAGCTGATAAGATCGACGAACCCGAGGTACTTGAAGGGGACACCCGTGAGAAAGAAGAACTAAATTTTTCCAAGTTGCTTGATGAATATAAAATAAAAGTAGATAATTTTAAATTTCACCCAAGAAGTACTTGGTCCGATGAGCAGAAAAAAATATTTTGTAAAAGATTAAGGTTACAGTTCTGCCTCAAGAAAAACGAAAAAGGTTTCTTTACTATATTAAAAGTTTAACTGCTCTTCAGAAAGTTATTATAGGTTTCCATATGTTGACTAAAGAAGTTAACTTAAATCCAAAATACTTTGAAACGACTTTTGCTATTCAAGAAAGAAATTGGACTATAACAGAAAAGGAACTACTTTACAAGGGAATAGAAACATACGGTATCGGTAACTTTAGCTTAATAAGCAGACATCTTTTACCAGAATGGGTAATACTGTATGTTAATTTTTCTTAACTACATCTAAAGTAATATTACTGTAAATCACTTTACTTTTACTTTTTAATCTACCAAATTAAATTAGTCTCCAAACGAACTCCGGTTAAAAACAATGGTGTTAATTGGGCGGCAAAACTTATCCCGCTATTCTGGCTGGAAAGGGACTAAAGAGCTGATTGAGAAGGAGTACCAAAAAAACAAGAGGATCGGCATTGAAACGAATTGTTGGCGAGGAGGAGTTCTCGTGTACGACGACGCAGGAGGTGAGCTGGTTTATATTAGTCGTGAAGTTTTTTTCTCTGGCACTAACCTTTCATTGTATTAATAGTCGTTCAAAGTCTCATTGAAAATATAGAGTCAAAGGAAAATATCGGTTAAATTGCTTGAGAATATATCTTAATTTTGAAAAAAAGCTATTAAATTTCCTTGTAGCGCGCAAAAATACTACCTTTTTTTAAAACTTTATTTGGTAAGTTCTGTTGCCTACCTTACAGGAAACTCCATTTATCATTAAATTATATCGCTCTATAAAGTCTTTATAGTCATTATTAAGTAAAAGCTCATTATCCCTTAAAATTTTAAGATTATCATTTTTACTTCCTTTTTCCGAAAAGGTCCACCAGGCAAATGAAAAGTGGGCTATAGGATCCTAAAAGAAAAATACGAAGTTTTTCATAAAAGTAAAATAGCAAGGCATTTGTTCCATACCTTATAATATTTTTCTAAACCAAACTTTTCAAAAACTTTATCTACTGCATCAAACAGTCCCATAAACTTGAATGCTGGAGGTGAATACTACATAGAGATGTGTGTATAGAAAGAGTTACCTTACTTTTAGCAGTTAACGCCACAGCTGCAAAACCTCTCGACGCAGTATCATTAAGAAAGCACTTAAAATTTTCAGCACGACACAAAAAACTGTAAGGATTTTAAAGTGGGTACTCTGAGCTAAGTTATCTAAAAAGGAAAGAGACTTCTGGTGGACGTTTCTATTGCTAGCTAATTCTTTTCCCAGTAGATCAATAAAAGTTGATATTTCATGATACTGCAGAGCAACAGTCTTGGAAAGGCTTATATGAGGAGCCGGTATTAAGTGGGTTTTTATATTCGTATGTGCTGACATCCTTATAACAGTTTGTTCAAAAAAATCATAAAGATTTTCTGAAATTGGTACTAAGTAAAATATAAGTCAGAAAAACCAATACTACTGCCTATGCATTGGGTAAATTAGTAAAGTATCTAATAAACCCCTAAAGCAAGAGCCTCAACAATACCTTCAACATAGACGTGGGTTGCCCAATTGCCGGGGACGTGACCGAAAGTTCTTATCCTCCCCAAGCTATCAACTTCAACTTTTTTTAACTCTTTATTATGGAAAACTTCTGGAAGAGGAAGAATAGTTGGGCTTTCGCATACTTCAACTTTTTCCTCAGAAGCCTTTGACTCAGAGTCTTCTGTATCACTTTCATAAGTACGCAAGTACTCTGATATGTGGTATATAAGGAATATTTACAAAACTTTAAAGAAAGCCTACCCATTAAGCCTTAAAACCTCTGCATTCCATAAATAATTCTTCCATTACGCAAAGTAGTGCACATCCGCCTGAACGGGGGTAGAAAATAGTATACCTTTTCGTAATTACATTTCATTAGTGCACATGTAATATTTGGGAATTTACAACTTTTCAAGAGTTGTAACGTGAAATTTTAGTACACTACGGCCCAGTGTTTTTTTTTCTTCTGCGCAACTACTTTTAACATTTTTATGTGACCTTTATATCTTTTCATATTGCTAGCTTAATTACAACCTTATACTTGTATATTTATATATTTTAAAGGCCAAAAAAAAATTTTAATTTTTACTTAATTATTTTATATTTAGATATAACCTCTCGGGGGAGCATGGCTGGCAGCACTACTGGTCGTTTCTTCAGGAGGTCGCAGGGCTAGTAGTTGTGATTCGAGGCCGCCTCTTCTACTAGTTTTAGTAGCGAGGATTGTTTCCCTCTACCTGTACAAAATGGCTGGAATTTTATCCAAGATGTCTTCGCCGCTCCTTAAAACCGTGGGAGAATAATAATACTCCTTTGGGGCCCCCTAGTCCGATTAAAGTGGTCTGCGCTCATAACAGAGTATCTATAAAAATCATTAATAAAAAGGTATATATACAAATGTCCCTCAACAAGGCCCTAAATTCATTTTGTTAGATCCCTCAGCTTTCATCGATGAAGGCTATCTTATAAAGCAAAACTTCAAAGGACCTAAAAATTGCTTTAAACAAAACAAACGAGCTAGAATCTGTTCATATTAAGAATGTAAGTGGAGACAAACAAAAGGCTAAGTTAATACCTGCCAATCTGGACCTCTACCAATCACTTGTTTAATTTATTTCGGGTCTACCTTTTACAAGAGATTTCTTGCTCAATAAAACTTATTACTCTCCTGTTATTCAACGCTCCATTAAACAGCATCATATACAACGCGAACATTATAATGGTATTTTTGTGGCACTTAAGGCGAGCACCCCCTGGCCGATAAGTCTTAGACCCAGACAGAAAATGCGTGTCATGACGGCCAACTGGACATTCAGCCTTCGCTATTGCGCAATAAAAGCCTTTGCTGCACAATAGAGGATACAGCATATGGGTCGCTGTCTTGACCTTTACCTTCACATAATTCACGTGCGTTCGTTAGAATTTACGAGGACATTTATTTATTTTATCTGAAAGTTCCACCAAAATATCATGCCATTGCAAGTCAACGATGTCGGTTGTGCAAGACTTTTCTTTGCTCATGAAGCCTTAATCTTTGCAGCGTAAATGCACCCCGTGGATGATTCCAGCTAGCAAGCCCGGCGAGGCAAAGATGTAGGTGCTGACGTAGTGAAGTAGGGTGACTAAGATGAAGAATAGATCATATTAACATTGCCATCCGCGTGGAGGGGTGGACTGACAGAGGTATGTCGCTCGTATAGATTGCAAATAGCAGCGGTGATAAAAGAGTAACTTGCTGGACTCCCTCTGCGAGCTGGCGAGGCGGCGACAGCGCAGAACCCGCTCGCACGCTGAAGGCCCTGCCGTTAACGTGCGACTTGAGCACGTCTCGAAGGTCGACTCAAGCCGTCTCGTAGCCGACCAAACATATATATACGTAGTTTAGTAAATGAAAATTAAGTGGGCCGAACATGGGTCACAGGGCTTAAATAGTCGGAGAGGCTAGGACCAAGTATCACGTACCCATGGCCTAGCGGGAAAGAACTTAAAGTTGTTATTCGTGGTTTTCGCAGAGATAAATATGAAAACAGCAAAAGAGATCTAATTTTTTAAGAATTTTACAGTCTGAAGTGATTAGAATGCGGGCCTTAAAAATAGTAAGGTAATTAACACCTTTTTTCTTTGTCAAGTTTGATTAACTGCGAACTAAAGGATTTTAAGCTTAAAAAGCATAAGGTATATCGGTTAAAAATGCGTGAGGATCAATCTTGCTATAGATGCCAACGTTTTAACTTATGGACATATCGAAAAATACTTCAGCTAACCACCAGTGCGGAATTTGAGATTTAGCCAATCTCTAGAAGCAAGGGGAAAAAAATGGCCCCCTACGGTATTACCAATGCAAAGCTTAAAATCTAACTTAAAAAATTAATTTCCAGGTGACAAGGTTATAACCACCAATTACTTTTTAAAACGTTGAAACTTAGCAGCATTTAAAATTTATTATCTTGACTAGGCCCCTAGTCAATTTTATTAGACTATCTCCCCACAAGTTTGTGGCAGAAGCGATTATTCGTCCCGGACTATTAGAATTTTTGGATAGTATGTGCGTTTTGATCACTTTTCAATTTGTTTTTCACAAAAATTACTTCACTGGTCACTAGTTAGATAGGCTTACGGAAGAGGCTGCAAAAACCTTTGACAACTGTAAAGTAACAGGAGTGGTTTTGATAGACTTAAAGGGTTTTTAATGTGGTCTAGTTAATAAAATATTTGCTGTAAACTTTCTATCTTACTTAAATGCGGTAGAACGCCCATATCTTACGCGTAGGAGCTCTACTGCTAGAGTGAGTGCGATGAATTTCTTCATTAAAAATTCTTAGGCGGATGTAACTAAAGACTTTTTTATTGTCCTATATTCTTTTTCTATTAGCACATGTATAATACGCTACAATTAACAAAAAAGAAACCTAGCCTCATACCCCAAGGATACCACTATAGATTATAGTTTAACCGGTATACAATGACATACAATCCTATTTTGAAAGATAGTATTTATGACATTAAAAGCAGCTTCGAATGTGCCGAAAGGGTACTTCATCTCAACGTAAGCCTCTCTTTAAAATTATCAACCATCCCTCGTAGCAGCAAGTTAAATATCTCGGGATGGCTGAGATGTACTTTACGTCTTTTTCACATCACAAAAATCAGAGAAGTCATTACCGTTCTATACCCTTTACTATTTAGGAGAAGTTATTTGCATTCCACAACAAGCTTTTGTTATATAAATTAACTCTACGTCTGCTCGTCGCCTTGAAGCCACTCTTCTAAAAGATAAATGCCCACTTAAATTTTAGGAATTTGCGACCTGAACGCTAGTGGATGACTGCAACTGTTAGCCACGGGCGTCTATTAATTAGCATGCCCGTGGATGGAAATGGAGATAGCACGCCCCCGCAGGAGAAGGTTTTCATTTTTCTGCTCTTTTTTTCCCACGGGGGACATGTTGTGATTTAAAGGGACTGCCAGATTATAGTGAAAAATTTTATACGTTTATTCTAACCTTGGGTGTACATATATATACGCTTTTATAGCTACTACCAGTGATAGTGCCATTCTATGACTAACACAATAAAAATCACAATTACCAACCTGAAGTCTATTCGAGAAAACCTTTATTATACTTAACGGAACTGGCTTACTAGGCCATAGTCACCTTAACATGTAATTACAAAAGCTCTCAATAATAACTCTCTCTAGTGCACCAAATTCTTCGGTGGTTTAACACACCTTACATTTGTTTAAAGTGAACCTGTTCACTCATAAAAGTTGTGACCTCTGTACTCTCGCTTTAAAGGGGAAAATTAATTAAGTAGTAATTGATTGTAATAACGTCTATAACTAGCCAGTGCTATGAATAATTAAATGAACAAAAACTTGATTGAGCCTCGCCTTTCTTCGAACTACGTTCTCATGCTTTACGAATAGGTCTTCCCGAGGTATCCCTCTATACCACATACGAAGAAAGAGTACGAAGCGGAATGATTTAAGGCACTAATGACAAAAGCATTAGAACAAGTTATTTTATCCGGTTCTTCTAGTTCCGTTAGGCTTTTTGGCGTCCGCTATGGGACTATGATAATGCTGGGGACGTCCCACCTAATTTTTCTTCATATGCTTTTGGCCCTGTAAATACTTGAGGCATAAAGGCTTTTGATAAAGGTCATGTAATTTTGGTGCTAAAAGTTAAGGCAGAATTTGCTTAGTAGATTTTCGTTTATTAATATATATATATTTTCCAAAAAAGATGACCGACATTATCATAGTGCTGAGTGTTAAGTTTATCTTTCTAGTATATATATATGAGTTTTCATTGCAGCCAACTTATTTTTTGCTTTTCTTTTTATTAGTGCTCTTTTCCGCAATAGACGCTTATAATTTGCAAGAATCATAAGGCTAATGGTAAATAACTTTTATTTTTTTTCTAAATCAGCTTTTACTGGGTAATATACAACTTGAGAAGACATGAACTAGAAAGACTGCTTTTAATTTTTAGCACCGATCGGGTACAATCATGTAAAGCGTAGTTAATTCGATTTATTTTTTAAGTTGCTTATTAAATTCCGTCTCATTTCAAGATTGCTATGTATGCGAATAAAACCTCTCTTTACATTCTATAAGTTTTGATTTCCTCAAAATATAATTTCTTTTCTTTGAGAGCCCAATTCTTAGTTTTTTAATTTAAACAAGGCATCTTAAAACAAGTTATAAAGAGTTGGGCAAGCAAAAGCTTCATTTTTTTTGTTGAATTGTTTCTTAGTACACCTGAGAAGATAAGCTGTGGGGTGATTGTAATGTTACATACATTTTTTACTTGCGCATTCCAACATAGTGTTTAAACCTATTTGGAATGACTCTCACATGTATGAGCACTCTAAATTTGCAGTACGCCCGATACACCTAAGAAAACTTGAGTCACGCTCCTTATAAATAACACCACCTTGTGCTGGTCCCTCCAGGCTATTGCCTGCAACGAACGTTTAAGTTCCTACTGTCTTAATGCTTTTAATTCTGGGGTTATGATTATATGCAGATAATTTTTCAGAAAGCACAGTTATTAAGTGACTGGCTAAGGACGTGCACTTGGGCTACTAAATTTTCAATTCCAGTTTAACAATTAACTCAGCTGTTAACTTTCTTAAAGTTTAATTTTAACTTAGGAATAACTTATAAATGCATCTGAGGCACTGTAATTCAGCGCTTTCGACTCCAAACTTTCTAAATTACATTGAGTATTATACAAATTTCTAAGCAAGAAGGGAGTGATGTTAACCTCGGTACTACTTAAACTGGGAGGGCTAAATGAGCTTTCGGCTAATGGAGAGCTCAATACACGAAGGGGTTAAACTCCATTATTTGACTATCAACTATTATATTTAAAAGGTTTGGCTACAGGAAAACAATTAAAACCTTTTTCTTCATCACTTAATATAAAGTACCTCCTTTATAAAACTTATTACCTATAAGTAAACTATGTCCTCACTTGAAAAATTGTTACTTCAAGGTATTGCTTCCAACTATATACAGTCAATAAGCTCTTCTAGCATATATGTAGGAGTACGAAGTTTTAGTCCCGATGAGCCTACAGTCATTGAATTTTTTTCGCCTTTAACCCTAATCTGTGGGCAAAACGGAGCTGGGAAAACGGTTTTTTTCATATTATAATTATTTCCAGTATTTTTTCTTAACGTTATAAAGACTGTCATCGAGGGACTTCGGTTTGCTACCACAGGTGAATATCCACCAGATTCTAATATGGGACGCTCTTTTGTTTTTGATCCAAGAGTACCAATACTTTTTTTTTTGTTTCTTAATAAACCAATATAAATTATAAATAAGATTTCATCCGAAAGAGAAGTTAAAGCCAAAGTGAAACTTCGCTTTTGCAATACAGCTGGCCGAGTTATTACTTGCACCAGGTAACTTTTGTGCTCTATATTAATTTTTACTAAAAGTGATTATAATAATATAAAGAACTTTGCAGGTGGCTCAAAGTTCTACCAACAAACCCACTTTAAAAACTCTTGAAAATGTTTTGGAGACTAAAGATCCTGTTTCTGGAGAAGTTTATTTCTAATTTACTAATCCTCGTATTTAAAAAAAATTTATCTAATTTCCTAATAGAAATCGAACCTAACACGTAAATGCGTTGATATGGATAAAGAAGTTCCACTCCAGCTGGGTTAGTTGTCACCGGCGTGCTCTTTTGATTATTCTTATTCTTCTTTTAGGCATTTCTAAAGCCGTTTTGGATTATGTTATATTTTGTCATCAAGAAGAAGCGAATTGGTATTAAAAATTGTTTCATTCCTATTTATTTTAGTAAACAAGAAAAAATTTAAAGATATAATATCATTTATAAATAAATTATAATAAATTTCTTACTTGAGGATACGTTAACATTATAATAATTAAATAAAATAATTAATTGATATTTCGTAAAGTTTCTAAATTTCTTACTTAATGTTAACTCTGTTCTACTTTCAGTGTTTCGTTTAAAATCCTTTTAGGTGCTTCAGATATATATTTCTTTATATATAATCTTATGAAATAGGCCTTTGGGCGATCCTAATAAATTAAAAGAAAAGTTTGACGGCATATTTTCTTCCACGAGGCTATTTCTTTATTATTATATCATATATATATATATATAATAAATATTGAGGGCTTTAGGTACACTAAAGCACTTGAAAATATTAAAAAGTATCGTTTGGAGCTGAATGCTAAACTCAAAACGCTCGAGATCGATATAGGTCACTATAAAATCCACCGCGAGAAAGCCGTTGAGGTATTCTTATTATCTGGAAAAGAAATTAATTTCTAATTAAATAAAAGTTGGAAAGTAGATTGGATAGCTTAGGAAAGAGCATTGAGCTTTGCGTTAATAGATTTCGGGGTATCTTCAATTTTCTTTGTGCTTCAGCCTTATTTTTATCACATTCTTTGAAGATCTTGATTCTGAGTTGGCCCCTCTCGAAAATAATTTAAACGCGATATCAGCTGAAATAGAAGTAATTAGTATTTAACTTATTTAACTTTTTTAAGGATTGTGAATCAAATGTAAGGAAGCCATTTCGGTTGAGTCTTTGCTGCTTAACGAAGAAACGATGCTGGCTCGAATTTCTTCGGAAATTAACGAGCTTTCTGTCAAAGTGCGCGTGTTACCCGGTATATAGTTACTTTGATAAAAAAAAAAGTTTTTACTCTGGAACATCCCACTATTAAGATTCTGATAAAGAGCTAAAGGAGAAGTTGCAGTCTTTTAAAGAAGGTTACTGCCTCTGTTTTTGTCTATGTTGTTGTATACTATTACTGCTCTCCAATAGACATGGACAGAATAGTTCGGGAAAACACTGCAAAGCAACACCTTCTTATTGAGAAAAATAGTGAACTGAAAAACATGTGTCTTCTGGTTTTACTATAGCGCCGCTCGCATCGGAAAGAAAGTTAAACTTTATGACCAGAACCAGCGACTCCGCGACGAAAGGACGAAAAGTCGATTGGAAAAGGAGGAGTTGGACTCTGCATTGCAGAAAATAAATGAACTTGTGTTGGAAATTTCAGAGATACACGACATCCATCAACCACATGACTTACAGTTTACCCACGTGAGACTTTGACGCTCTCCGGCCGTTGGTTCTGTTCACCTTCTAGACTGCTAGGAAACTGCTGTTTCTGAATTTAGTTCAGTTCTCCGTACGATGATAGCAGAGAAGAAGAAGGAGCTGGGGAGGCTGAAAGTGCTTTTATTATTATTATTATTATTATTATTATTATTATTATTATTATTATTTACTTGAAGGGAGAGTTGTGGAAACGGAACGGCAACTTTGAAAAGGAAATTGATAAGCTTCGCAACGAGATGTCTGCATCTGAACAGGAAAAGAAATCGAAAGACCAAATGTTGGTTCGTGCTAAAAATAATCATAATAATAAAAGTAATAAAAAAATTAGCATAGACTCAGTTCAAGCTCGAACTTATCAATACTGATAACGAACTTTCCAAGATAAAAGTTAGCAAGCAGGATCTTGAAAACCTTGAAGAAGAGCTTGAACTTATTGTACATGTTCGGGTTGAACAGGCTATTCTTGTTATAATCATTTTTGTATTTCTAGAAAACCAAAATATCGTTGAAAACTGAAGCGGCCGCTGTTGAAAAGCTTCAGCTGGAAAAAGAAAGACTGGAAGCTTCCAGAGCGAAAATTCAGGTGGAAGCTCTTCTTATTTATCTACAAAAAAAAGTTAAATAAATATTCGTAGTCGCACATGGAAAGCCTCCACGAGGATATTAAGCTCTTCCACTTGCAGGTCTGTACTCTAATATATATCTTTCCGGTTTATTATGTTGTATCTTTTTTTTCAGCATCAAACAAAAGTTTTTTTGTAGCAGTGCAAACGGTATCTTACAAGTCTTTTATTTATGCTAAGAAATTTAAAAGTTTTGAAAGCTTCTGTTTTATTTTTCCACCTCCAGTCGTCTTCACGCGCCAAAGTTGAGCAGATGAAGGAGAGAAAAGCTCGAATTGAAGCATCGATTGCGCATCTGTTCATTTCTTTAATAAAATTATTTCTATTTATATAAGATTCACTCTCGCCCAGCTCGGAACAGGTGCTCGCGGACGCTTCCAAGTGGCTTGGCACATCTCTAAAAGCGGACCCTTTTGCAACAAATGAGATGCTGAGGAAAGCGCTCCAGTAGACCTTGCTAGTGCTGTTCCTATCTTTTCTCCCCCAACATGCCAAAAACGTACAGGGGAAAAAGGGAAGCCCTCGGGGGTTTATGCCTAGAGAAGCAGGAGAGCGAGGTGGCCCGCCTTTCATTAGAATCTCAGAAGTCTCGTGAAGAAGAAGAGATTCAGCATCTCCTTCTGCAGCTGAAAGGAAGCCCATTCGCTTATAGACTCTTTCCAGCATGTGTAATCCCCCCTGTAGAAAAGGACGGTTTACTGCGGAGCGAATGCGGGAGCTTGCCCTTCCCCGCTGCGTACGAAAAGGTTGAGAAGAACTACAGCAAGCAACAAGGGTTTGTCCTTTTGCCTCTCATAACAAAGACGAACAATTTTCTCTAAATATCCAATCAGCATCTACAAGCAGATTGAAGCTTCGCAGTTTGTCATTGAGGGCTACGAGAAGGTTTTCCTAGAGAAGCACTACTGCGCACTCTGCGAAAGAAGTTTCTCAAGCGAAGCGGAACGTCTTACTTTTCATAACAAAGTAGAGTGTCATGTAAACTAGAATAAAGCAAATATTGACCCTTTGATAGTTGCGGAAAAAGAAAGAAAAAGTTCCTCTATACTTGAACAACTTGAAAGAAGAAGTTGATACACTCTTTGTATGTTCATTGTAATTCATATTATTGCTTTGTTGAGTATTTGTGAATTAAAAGGCCAAGAAGAAGCGGCTCGACCAACTACGCATCATCCACGAGGATATTAGCCGTATCCGAAACGGCCGGTTGCCGGCATTACAGAGCAGTCTGGACTCGATCGCTGAAAAGCTGGAGGAAGCTAAGCAGCGCTCTGAAAGGGTCTTCATGCTGTTGGCCAGCTCCCCCGGGAAGCGTCGAAGAACTTGTTTCTCATTGGATGACTATAATAGTGTAAGACGGAGGACCTTAAAAAAGACGTGGAGACGCTGGAAGCGTTGTTGGTCAATAGCGATCAGTGGTTGGGTTTACTCTATGACCACTCAGAACTCGAAGCTTCCATATCTTCAGAGTCTCTTGGACTTCACTCTTCTGGTTTTAACTATTGCGTTGGCTGCGCCTTTAGAAATCCGTTACTTTTTTTATAATATTATAAAGAAAAATACGCAACCATGGAAGAAGCCTGCCAAAAGCTGGAGGCCTTGCAGGAGAGAGAAAGAAGTGAAGCCAGTGAAGTAGAAAAAGTTGCAGAAGAACTGCTCACTTACGAATTTTCAGTTGTTTCTCTTCGGCAAGAACTTCAAGAAGTACTTCGTGAAGTTTGTTATACTACTGATAGTAGAACGCAGTTCGATATAGAAAGAGCATCAGAAGGAGTTGCTCTTAGCCTCTCTGGAGCAGCTTGAAAAGTATAAAGAGAAGAAGATGTTATTAAACGCGTCCATTGAAAGTTATTATTCCGATATTCAGGTATTCTTATCATTCTATTCGTCCCTTTTTTACCGACTTTTGTCATACCAGTCGCTTTCTCATGAACGCGATTCACTTAAAGAAAAGTTTGAGGAGAAAGTTGAAGAGCGCGCCAAGTATCAGAACGATAAGGAGGTTTCTTGCGAGTCTTGCCCGCATGGCTAGCAGTATTAGCGAGGCATGATAAGGTGACAACGGGGAACTTGGCGGACTGGATAGCCCGACTCGAAAGAGACTTCGGGCGTTTCAACATTCTTCTAGAGAAAGTGAACAGGTTTATTGTTCGCCTTTATAACTCCACTGAGCACATGCTCAGAGCCGAGTTTGTAGGTTGAAGACCTCCTCCACTCTGGCCAACCTGAAACCCCTCGAAGAGCAATTGCAAAGTCTTCAACACGAGCAGAGCCAATTGGAAAGCACAATATCTGCTCTTAAGGAAGACCTTGAAAAGAAGAGAAATATAATAAATACACAAACTGTATAACGTTCCTGTCGGAAAGTTTCATGTATATTTAATATGATAACCAAAAGGAACACCGAAGAAATATGGAGGACAATCTCCACCTTCGAAAACTTCACCTTGACATGAGCGAAAAGAAAGAGACCACGCAAAAACTAGCGAACCAACTTTCTTGCTATAACAAAAGTGGCATGCTCGAATCAAAGAAAGAGCTTGTAGTCCAAATGGATCGCCTAAAAGAAGAAGTTTTTTTATTTACTAGCTTATAACTGGTGGTTATGATTTCTATGAAAAGAGAAGTGTGCTGAAGGGCAGGCAACACGAGCTCGAAAAGCAAAGAGAAGACGTCGATCGCGAGCTTCATTCCGACATATACACTTCGGCTTTACGCACTTATAAAGAAAAGCTTTTCTCGTTCAAGGTTTTTCTTTCTAAGGAAATTAACTGTTTGCCGGCTCACTCACCCTGCAAACCTTCTAGACGACCCTGGTAGCCTCCTCAGACTTGGATAAGTTTTATAAGGCCTTGGATGCGTACGTGGTTATTCTCTGTTAGTGGCAGTAATGAAGGGCTCGCTCCTCAGGACAATCGTGCAGTACCATCGTGTGAAAATGAACGCCATCAACGAAATTATCAAGGAGATGTGGAGCAACACTTACAGCGGATCCGGTATCCGCCCGCCGCACTAGTACTGAGCTTCCTTCTTAGTCGTCCGCCCCCATTTTAGACATTGACACCATTGAGATTCGCTCGGAGTCCGCTATTAGCAACGCCACTGGCCGCCGTTCTTACCAGTACAGAGTTCGGAATTATTTTGACGTCCACTGCAGTGGCGGCGCCAATTTAATTCAACGGCATTTTCAGGTGGTCATGCTGAAGGGAGACGTTGAAGTCGACATGAAAGGCAGATGCAGCGCTGGCCAAAAGGTGTGCTGGTGGTTGAACGAGTGTCTCACTATGAACTATATAAATTTGGCAGGTGCTGGCGTCGCTTATAATAAGACTTGCGCTGGCAGAGACGTTTTGCATTCACTGCGGCATTCTTGGTATCTATAGATAATTTACGACATAGTTACTTTACCTTATATTTGCTCAAGCGTTGGACGAGCCCACTGCCAACTTGGACAGAGAAAATATTGAGAAATTTGCCCAAAATCTTATCAAGTATCTGTCAAACCCTTCTTCCACTCAATATTAATAGCTAAACAAAATATCACTGCCAGCATTATAGAGAACCGCCGAGCCCAAAGGAACTTTCAGTTAATTGTGATCACGCACGATGATGAGTTCGTAAACTATCTCGGGCAGGCCGACTACGTGGAGCACTACTACCGAGTAACCAAAGACTCCAGGCACATTCTTGTTTAGTCACTTAAAATTTTATTGGTTGATACATTATTATCAGGCAACATACATGTGTTGTGAAACGATCTTTTCGGCATCACACTCTATAATAAATATGCGCTTGCACTTTACTTTTTCATTTAACTAATTTGTTCGTAAGTTTACTAATAATATGCAGCCAAGCCCTTCGCTTGAAGTAGGTTTTCACTGTATAAACAACCTGAAGCTCACATATATAGTCAAGGTTGTGGTAATTCCTTTGGTCTATATGTGTACTATCTGCCGGGCCTGTGCGTCCTTATAGCGCATTAATCGTACCCAATCAGCATATCCTATAAGGGTTGCGATTCCTACAAATTCTAATAAAACATTCGATGTCCACATAAATACACTGGTTAGGTCTTATATATGGGAGAGCGCAGTACGTGGCATATCCGCGTGATTATCCACCCGCAATACTAACCACCCTTCTGGCGATTTGTTTCATAACGGGGCGGAGTGCCAAGAAAAATGTTGCGTTTGTCGACAAAAACCTTCAGTTTTTCTACAGTTTCTGCTGTTGTTGTTGGCAAGTCTTTAATTGTGAGCATTTAGCCACCTGTTCTCTTCTTATTGTATATACATTATCAAGAAAATAGAGCAATACTGTCTTTTTGCTGTTAATTTTAAGGGCCATCCCCCCTTAAGAAGGCTTCTGTTACGAGGCACATCTGAAATACTATTTATATCCTCGAACCAGGCTTAATAAGCTGTTTATACGTTTGAAACTGATCCTTATCTGTTCCTAAGATTTTAGGTTATTTTAGAAAATGGGTCTTAAGACTACCATAAATTTTATAACATGCGTTGGAAGCACAAGAGTTTAACAAAAATAAACTATACCTCTTGCAGGGCTAGTTTCCTTTTGCACGTTAATTATGGTTCCTGCCTAGTAATTTTCAGCGATAAATCTTAACTGAGGAAGGTCTGGTGACCACAAAGTATGTTTTTACTCTCAACTATTTAAAAGATTTTCATTACTAGTTTTATGGAACTTCCCACTTAAATATTTTCCCTAGTAATTATTAGCCTTTCTTCTTGGTTGGTCTAAATGTTATATAGACTGCAAAATCCATCTACACTTCTAAGAATTGAAAATTAAAAAACCTTTTTTTGCACCTATAATATGTGCTCAAAGCTATGAATCGTATAATTGTTTTTAATACTCTCTACAGCTTAAAAGTATATACTTATTTACGGCACAGAAAAGAGGAATTATTAGTTCCTTATAAAGTAAAAGTTTCGTTTTTTTATTACTACAGTCCCTAAAGGATAACTATTGCACCAAATTCTTTGAATAGATATCCGAGTTGGGAAAAAGACCCTCAGTTGCCTATAATGCATAAATTAGGTCTTAAAAAAACTGAACCAGCCAACATAAACAGACGATGATAGGTTTAGCTAAATGATTACATTTTGAATAAACCTTTAACTCTTAACAGGCTAACCCTTATAAAAAAATTCTGAAAACCCTTTTTACATTTATTAGATGTTAATAAAGAAGGTAAAGACAATATCTTCCTTAACTATAAAATCGCTTTATACAGATATTCCAATAGAAAACTTCAGGAATTCTGTAGAATTCCTTCTGAAAGGCCTTCTAGGCCAGTATAACTTTGTTTGTATGATCCATTATTTGATTTACTACTTGATGTCTAGCCTCAAGACTACACACAATTACATAAAAAATCAATACCTTACCTTTTATAAGAGGAACATGGTCATGATGTACATGAGAACAATCTTGGACTAAAACTTATTACTAATAGTATTATCAAGTAAATTTTTAAATAATAAGGTCAATTGCACCAAATTAACGGCAACTAAGTAAAGAAATTCTGGGGACCGTCTTTATAAAATGTGCACCTGGTTTTTTTCGGATTATTTCTATTTTTTTTATTGTGTTACACTTAATAAGTTTACTGATCTTTAAAACTTTTAAAAAATTTTATCTTATTTTTTTTTTGGTTTGCTATTCCTTTATATATTTCCGAAGCTTTTTCTAATAACTTTTTAGTTATGTTTGAACCGTAACATAAAGTTAACAAGTTATACTTTATAATAAAGAGGTCGAAGCTATTGAATAATTTTATAATCAGCGGTTTTTATAGATGATTTTTAAAATTTACCAGTTTAATGTATAATTACTCTTTTTCTCCGTGCTAGAAGCATCTATATAACAATTAACATGATGGAACTTATCAACATAACTTGAATTTATTTGAACTATTTTAAGTCTATTTTCTTCGGGCAGTCAAAGTAATATTTATTTCTGATGTTTTTTAACTTTTCAGAGAGTTCGACATTGATTTCGGAAAGATTATGGGCAACCTATTGCATAAGGGTTATAGATTTACAAGAAAGCACCGGAATATAAGCAGAAGCGCAAGATTTATACTAAGATGAATTATTTTTGGTGAGAGAATTTGTTTAAGGAAAACCACTTTTTATCTATAAAAAATACAATTTTCTAAAGTTAAAATCATGTTTAAAAATGTTACCAGAAAAATTATATTAGGCTAAAAGTTTATAGTTCACTAACTAGAACCTCTAAAAAAAAAACAAGAACGCAGCAATGCTATGCTTAACGCCGTTTAATTATAACACAACCTTCTAAAGGAACTAATGGGTATATATATTTATTACATTATATTCCTTTTTAAATAACTTATATATATATTTATTTTCTTTGTCTCCGTTAAGGCTTATTATAATTAAACTTATTAATTTCCTATAAAATCTTAATAAAAGTAACTTTAAATTTAAGCAGTTACACACTTTTTCGTCATAACCAGTAAACGGATTGTTTTTTGACGGAGCGCTAGTCTCGCTGGTCCCTTCGTGGCTCAAACTTTCGACAGATGCATGTTGGAATTCAGTCCTTTGCAAGAAATAGGCTGTATCCTTTAGATAGTAATAATAATAATAATAGTAATAATAATAATAATAATAATAATAATAATAATAACTTTCCTCGCTGTCTGCCACTGAAGGAACAAAAGGTCCGCTACCCTCTAAAATGCGACTAAAATCGATTTTATTGAAGAATATATGGTGTTTAATTTCATTGGCCGACAATCTTTGTGTTGGGTCCACGTGAAGTAAACTCTCTACGAGCAAAAAATACTGAAAAGTATAAATTCCAAGAAAAGATAATTCACTATTTTTTTTTGTATTATAAAAAGATTATTGGACAAAATAGTTTTGGGGCTCATTGTATTATTTTCACAGCAGTTTATTATAGCAAGGGTAGTTTCATAAAGAAAAATATTTATAGCCTCTGCCTATTGACCTTGCCGGTTGGACTCGCTAAATTCACCGCATGGCAACCCCTACATTAAGGGGGGAGGGGATTGGCTTAACAGATTAATTAAGGTTAAATTATAATAAAGATGCTGCAATTGGAGGACGGCTTAGTAGTTATACACGTGCAGACCTTTATTATCTTTTTTTGCATTAAAATGACTGGTATTATAATACTTATTTACCAATAAAAAATTATTATACAATATAAAGCATTCAGCGAAGAAAGTATAGTTACAAAGTATAGTGATCATGTAAATTTATCCGGAATAATACTAAAGGTATGGAAAGTTAAGAACCAATTAAATGGACGGCATTAGCACTACAATTGATATCTTCCGGCCAATGAAGATCTTATAACAATAACACGAGGATGATCTAATGTTTTTTATTGAATATATGAATTTTTATAACCATGCTGAATAATTTTTTGAAATATGTCTCTTATTGACGGCCCGTTGAAGGGAGGACAGCCAGTAAGAAATTCATAACCGCATATACCCAACGCCCACCAATCCACGGGGTAGCCTGAAATGTCATTAAATAGTATGAGTGGTGGTAGTAATAAGAAAAGTAAAAAACTAATACTGTGCGGCAATCCCAGCAAAAGTTCTGGCGCCAAATAGTCTGGTGTACCCAAAATATGTTCTGACTTTGTGGATTTTTTAAGGCCAAAAGTCTCATTTAAACTTCTAAAAAGAAACAAAGTGTTAGTAAGTTTAATGAATATAACAATTTATTGAAAAATGTTCACGAATTTTTATAAGCCAAGAAAAATAAATATTGCAACTGAGTTTCTTTTACAGACTTCATTATTTTTATTAACTTTTCCAATAATTACTCAAAGCAAAGAAATTATACTCTTTGCAAGTTTCGTTCACTATTATTTACGAGCTATTAGGAATATATAATTCATTATTTTTGATATATATATATATATGTAATAATTTATAATAAAAGCGCTAAACACAAACTTCAGAAATACAAAAACAAATATCATTATAAGCGTAAAAGTTTTTACGAAAAGTGATTGGCCAAATAAAAACAACCGTGAAAGTTGCACGGAGGGCACGTGGGGAATATTCTTTATTTCTCTTGTACAATTCTATTTGGGCCCATTAATTATAGTGAAGTACTTCTAATGTTTCTAAGACCTCAGAATAACGAGGGGCATCCCTGTTCACCAAAAAACTTGGACTCTGCCGGGCGGCTGCAAAAATAAATACAATTATATCAATGATAATCGTAGATTCTTGTATATTTTAAACTCCAAATACGTTTTTAAATTTTTGTCATTAATTTTTTTTTAAAGTTCATTGTTTTATTTGGTAATAATAAATCTCGTAGTACCTTTTCTAGAGCTTTTACTACAGTCATATGCAGGAATGTCATTTTTCTTTAGCTTACTTGCAAATAAAGTTTTAATATTAACTTGAGAGTATGAAGGAAACTGATTAATAGTTTTGCTGGAGCCATCTGCATTCATAAAAATAAAAAATCCAGAAAGGTTAGCAAATACAATTACTCCTGCTTTTTAATTGGCTCCAGTGTTAACTGGTGTTTTTTATTGGTTCTCAAAGCCCCATAAACAAGTAACGAGAAAAAGGAGCAAAAGTTTAACGGTTTTTATCCAAATTAGATTCACAAAAAAAAGGAACTCATTATTTTTATTACCGAGTTTGGTTTCCACAAAGGCCAAACCAAAATCAGTAAGTTTTACGTGACCTAAAAAAAGTTAATAATAACTAAATTATATATAATGAGCAGAAAGTTAAAATAAATAATAAAAGTTATTTTTATATATTATTATCATGTAAAATAATGAAAAGTTAAATAAAGTTTATAGAAAACTTACAAGTAAATGATGTAAAAGACCCAATAAATAATCAGCTTATATATAATATGTATTATTTAATAATTTTCTCCATAACTTTAATGGAAAATATATAGAAATAAGCATAAGAATAATAGGATAGAAAAAGTTAATCATCAAATAAAGTAAGCAATCTATATTTTTCTAACGCATCGTAATAATAGCTTATCATTAAAAAAGCTACGCTACCTCTTTTATCGATAAGCATATTCTCTGGCTTGACATCCCTGTGCACTATTTTTAAGCGGTGCAGATAGTCAAGCGCAAGAACAACTTCGCTGATATAGAAGCATGAAGTCTCTTCATTAAAGGCACTTAATATAAACCTTCTTAAAAAATTCGATTATAAAAAAGGGTATTCTTTACCCAACAACATGAAGCAGAGAAGCTAAGTCTCCTCCAATGAGATATTCCATTACCTTGCAGTAATAATAATGATTATAAATAATTAAATGGTAAATAATAGTCACGAGGAAAAGATGCTTCTTAGATTGGAAAGCAAAGTAGAGCTTCACAATCCAGGGGCTGCGGGAAGCGCACATGGCCTTCTTCTCAACCAGTACGCGCTCAACCATATTTTTCCGAATCAACTCTTCTTTTTTCATTATTTTTATTGCATAAAGGTCTTCAGTTTGCTTTTTTCGGCACAAATACACTTTTCTATGAATTTTTCAAGTGATTTAATACGAAAAAGTACACTTAATAATAATACAAGGAGGTTGCAAGTAGTCGACTGAACGTAGAGTTTTGAGATAATATTAATGATACCAAGTTTTTATGAAGTTATTTATTATATAAGAGTAACTGGCTTTATGTGAGAAATGACTGGTTGTAGTTACTTTACTCCCTTATATTATTCGTGTCTTATAGCTACGCATTAAGAGCGAGATAAAGCACATGCTTAGAAGCTACACGTGAGCAGAAGAAATTTCAATTTTGATTGTAAGAAACTGCAAGTGTCCCCTCAACATACACATCTCATCAGAGCTAATGAAGCCCACGTGTAGGGGCGCTAATATTAATATATGCAATGAGTGGTTTGATTACCCATAGGCGCCTCTGCTGATTGGTTTTATAAATTGAAAATCCCCAACACAAGGAAAGCGTTGGAGAGTTTTTCCAGTCTTCTTAGTTGCGCTTTTTCGGGACAACTTTAAAATATCTAAAAATATCATTAAAAAATTGAATAAACCTAAAACCTTTTAGTTTTACATTTTATGGTTAAGCACGTGCCAATAATATTAATTATACTAGTTACTTGTTACTTTTTTGTAGTTATTATTATTGGGCCTCATTTATTTATACCGTTTTTATTGGCTAGAATATAACTTTCTATAGTGAAGGCATTTTTACTAAGTTCAATTCTTTTGGGTTAATTTCGATTATTATAAAAAATTAAGAAATCATACAACTTTAATGAATTGAAAAATTAAAAAATTTACTATTTTCATTATTTGTTATGGGATTAGTAAACTTTATCAAATATTTATTCAGTTAAAAGTTTTCGGTGCTTATTTTTAATATTACTGAGTAATAAAACATTTAAGAAATTCCTAGTAAAATGTTATTAAATACAGACATAAAAGTTCACGCTCCTTAAAAAATACTACAAAAACAGTACTACTTTTATAAAAAATAGTGAGGAAAAGTACTTTAATATGAAATATTCTTAAACACTAAATATTATGGTATCATACAGAAATACTACCAATAATATACGATATAACTCACCAATAACAGCTACTAATAAAATATATGTAAACTTAAAGCAAACCACAAGACAATAGGAAAACAATGAAATGATAAAGCTAAAACCGGTAAACAGTTGTAGTGAAAAGTCTTTTGTGAAATAGCTCAAGGTTAGCTCAAAAAAAGTGTTAGAGGTTGGACGGACGCAAGGACGATGTCGTATAGTTTAACCGCGGCTTATCGTACAGCAATCATATTACGTCATTAAACAAGAGCACCAAAAATAAGATGAAAGGGTAAAAAATAAACCAATGAAAGCATTTTCAACAAGTTTTTATTAACCTCGTGCTTTCCCGGTCAAAATTTTTTCTCCCAATGAAAATGCATGATGCTAACAACCAATTTGAAGTTTAATATATAATAATTATAATGATTAATAACCTGTAATAATTCTTTTTGCGGAGTTTCAAGTTTTCTATAAAGAGCCAATAAAACCCGTTTCCCTAACACATAAGCTGCCGGGTTCTTCAATTGGTTCATCTGATTTATTATTATAAGAAATAAAATTAATGAAACAAATAAACCTACCAATGAAAAGTGTTTTTTCAGTAGCAGTGAAAAAAATGAAGTTTATCAGCGGTAACGCACCTCAGCGAGGATGGTTTCAAGTTTTTTAATGATATTATGAAGTTGTTCTAATTGTTCTTCACCGCAAAGTGTGCAAGCAGAAAGAGACCTATAAAACATGTCGGATTTTTATTCATTATAACACTTTCATATTAACGTCCCATCCAGCTTAGAGTAAATCGTTTTGCTATATCAATTTAAGTTTCTTTAATAATACTAAATGGCGTACATGTGGGTCTTGCGCTTATTAAATTATACTTAAACAACCACAAACAAAAAGTTTACTGTGTTTGCTTAAAGAAGATTATAAGCTTCACGAAAAAAGAAACCATATAATTTTGTTGAATAAAAAAATTAAAATTCTAAATATATAACGTGAAATTTAAATTTTGAAGTAAAACACTTTCTAGTGATGCAGAAATATAAACATTATTCAGCAGTTTTTATGATGTAACAAAAGTACGAATATTATTAATAAACTATGAATAACTATGAAATAAAATAATTCACGCTGACAAAAGAAGTTAATTAAAAAAGTTTCTATTTTAAGCTCCTCATATACATGAAAATAAATGAAAGTTTTACTTAGTTTTATTGGTAGGGCTCGTAAGTTACCAAAAAAAACCTTTTATCAAAACTCACAATAACTCAAGTAAAAAATAATCACGAAAGCATAACAAATAACAAAATTGCAAGAGATTTAAAGTAAAGATATACTTTTAGTTTAAGCGAAAAAAGTATTCACAAATTTGTTGGGAAAAATTTTAAATATTTTACTAATCATTTGTAAAAAAGTTTATTGAAATATAATAAACTTAGCAATTTAAGTTATGATAGAAAAATTCATGAATATAAAAAAAAAGAATTAACCGTTGGTTGGCATTATAATATTGTACGTAAGATATCGGTTACCCACTATTGTAAGTGAAGTTCCACAAACAGTAATTTGAGAATTTTAAAAAAATTCATGGAATAAAGCGACCTTTTCATTACCAACAACAAATACTTTCAAAGCAGAATAATCATTCATTAAAAAAGAAGTAAAAAAAGGAATGCGATGATTTTTTTATTATAATTCTAAAGAGAATTTTCTACCTATGTATGCGTAAAAAGTAAAACAAAGGTGTTTACCCATAAATGGGCAATTATTTTATGCGTATTGTATACTATATGAAACATTTATGTATACAATATAATATATTCGATTATTTTGGGGATCTACACACATTTTTCTTTGACTTGGCTCTTTTCATTAATTTTTATTCAATTTTTTCAAGAAATTTACGATAATAAAAAAACCAATCAGTATTTTGTAATAATAACCTTTTACACTTGACAATAATACGCTTCAACTTTTCCTTATTTTCATTATTATAATATAATAAGTTTTCCTAAGAAATATATTTTTAAAAGAAACTTTTGTTATGTATAAAATTGTTAATTATCAAGAAAAAATTAATGAAAACAAAAAGTACTAAACTTTTTATTATTATAATATTCAGTAATAAATTATTTTTATTTTTGTAATAATTAATTATTTTTCTAATTATTATTTGTTACAATATATTAAATTATGCTTCGGTTTAATAATTAAAGTAAGATAAATAAGTAAAAGAAAACTGCAATTATTTAAAGCAATGACAATGATATAAAAATGCTATAATTCTTCTGTTAAATTGGTAATTATACCGTTCACCATAAAATATAATGACCTTAAAATATAATGAATATTTAAAAAGATCAAAGATAAAAAACGTTTTATAAGGTTTGTTAATTTTAAACAAGTTAATAACAGATGTAATCATAATCATAATCATAAATAAAACAAACTCTTTTAGAAAAGAAGTCGATCAAATTTTTTATACAGAGGAAGACTGGAGCTTTTTTTTTTGAAGTTAAGCTTATCTTTTCAGCGAAGACACAATAACTAAATATATTTATTTTTTAAAGTTTAAATTAATATTTCATGGGAAAATACTTTTGCTTCTTAAGAAGCTTGATAAATTTTTAAATTGAAACTTTTATTCAGTATGTTTTTATATACTATAAAGTCTACTTTTATAATATGTCATTACTAAAAGATTCAGTTAAAAATGGTTTATTTCAGGTATTAAATAGTGTCTTTTATATATTTAACAATATTTATAGTTAGAAAATTTATAACTTTTTAAAAATTTTCCTTACCTTATTTTTCCCTAATAGTTATTCTTACTTAATATGTTTTAGTTTATTCATTTCAATTTTTTATGTAACTTTTATATAGTTTTACTTATTTCCCTACTTTTTCTTCTATTTTTTTTTAATTCTTTTCTATGTTTTTTTATAAATATAAGTCTTTAATATATTTCTATTATGATTATAAGCTATTTACTGATGACTTATAAAATGAGATTATATATTAGTGTATTATACTATTATTATTTTTTAAATCTATTTAATGATACCTTTCCAATTTTATTATATTAAATGCTTGTATATATATTTAGATTTATACAACTTTTATTTTATTTATTGCAAACACTAATAATGTTACTAATTAATTTTTTTAAAAGATATTCTTATACAAATATATATTTTTTTATAAATAAAAACTTTTTTTTTATTTTTGCTAAATCTTGTATTATAATAATAAAAATATAATGCTACTAAGAATGTTGTTCAAAAATTCGCTCATCAATGTTTTCTTCGCAGATCCTACACAGTACACCAGAGAAAACTAGACTAGTTCTTGATAAATAAATAAATAAAATAAAAAATAAATATAATTTTTTATTAAAGTTAATAAATTACAAAAAAAAAATAGAATTAACAATTTATTTATTATTTTCTATAAAGAATTTAGTAAAAATTAATACCAAAGTAGTTCTGCTAGAATATATATGAATGTAAATAAATTAGCCTTAACAGCTATAATAAAAATATATTATTTAAATTGTAAGACTAATTAATTAGTTAAATAACACGATTTGGGGCTCTTAAAGTTACTAAAAAAAAAATTTAATTTATAAAAAGGTAAAAACTATTATATACCATTTTAATCAACATAAATAAATATCTAAAAGTCTATCACAGAGAATAAGCAAAACCTCCGATAAAAGAAGTTTTTCTTTGTTGAGTTTTTTTTTATGAAAATTTTGTTTATAAAGGCGCTCGGAAGCGAGTGCGAACGGTCTTTGCGAGGCTTTGTAGGTTTTGCTTTGTGTTCCGCCGGTAAACGGCGCTACTTGTTACTATTATTAACATTAATATTATTAAATATTATCGTTAGCTTCACCTTCTGCATCCAACTTACAAGCTTTGAAAAACTTGTCTTTCTTGTAGTATGGGCTTTGTTGTTATGCTGCAAATATTATTTATTTAAATAATAAAAAGTACAATAAGAAATTTTATTACAATTTAATAACGAAAGTAGTAAATACCCCTAGAAAAGTTATTTATTTAGTTAAATATTTTTTTTGCCTGTTTAACTTTTGTTAAAGTACAAATATTTCCTTTATTAATTCTCTTTTAAAAAGCTACTTTTGCAGAGAATAAATAAAGCTTTTATATGAAAATATTATTTGCCCTTATTGGAATAAGTTTTATACTTAACACAACCTATGTATAATACTGAAAAAAATTGCTTCAGCAGTTCCTTAATATAATTATGCTCTTGTCTAAAATACTAATATTTTTTTAAAAAAAATAATAATAAACTACTTATCTATCAACTCAGCATCCCCAAATTGTCATTCTTTACTTATTAAAATTGATTAAAAAAAACTACTAAGTGACTTAGAGAAACTTAGTAGGGTCCTTCAAGTAACCATACCTTTTAGTTGTAACTATTTCTGTAGCCTTTTAAAACTTATAATAACTAAGCATTGTTAATTGTTATCTTTCATAAGAGTTTCAAGCTTACTAACAGTGTAATATATAAGAAGTAAGCTTTAATTAATTGATTATGAAGATTTTCAGTAATGAAGTAGGCTAATACCCGCAAAGAGTTTTTTTTTACGGAGAGGCACTTCTTTTCTTGTTCAGTTCTTTCCTTATATAAGTTATATACAAAAAACGTTTGATACTTATAAACATAGTAAACAAAACACGGAAAATGATATTAATTTAGATAAAATATTTTAATTTTTTTTAACTTATAATAAAAAGAAGGGACTTTTCTGCAGTTATAATAATTAGTTTATATTATTACATATATTATTCAGTCGATTTATATAAAGCTAAAGGTATTATGTTCATGGTTGGCAAAGTTTTCAAATTAAAAGAATGGAGTGATAAGTTTTTAATTCCTCACACCGCTTATATAATTCATATACGTATGTTTTTAAAATAAAATAGCGGTTTCTATTGATGGGCATTCAAGCAAAACTTCCGAATTCATAAAAATATAAATATAAATAGTAAGAATTGCGCAAGCGCTATAGCGCTTTAAAATGAGGAACTTATCGGTGTATATCTGTTACCAGTTCTTTTGCAAGTACACCATTATAGTAGTTGAGGTCGCAGCTATTTGTTTTTCTAAAAAAAAATAACCAATTAACACCAAGAGCCAACGAATTTACATATATATAAGTAAAAAGTAAAAAAGTTAAATAGAACGCTTTTAATTTATAAAGCACTTTCAATTATAACAAAATTATTCTCTTAATAATTTAGAAAATCATTAAGCCCTTAGTTTAGTAATGAAAGTGAAGTGGTATTTATTACAGTGTAGCCAAAACTACTAAGCGCCTTAAAGTATGCTTTTATATGGTAGTCATAAGCATGTCTCAGTCATTGTATGGCAGCCTCAATGGGTACCACCGAACAGAGTGTTTATAAGATATTTTAATTACAAGAGGTAACTAACCTTTGGTCTAATGCGTAAGTAACATGTAGCAGATTGCGTTCCTCAATGTAGCTTTTATCCTATCAAAAAACAGTAAGTTGTAATAGTACACAAGGTCGCAAAAGTTAATGTTTTTAAAAATATTGAAAGTCACTTTCAAGCTGGGACGAAAGAAATAAGCGCACTGTTTAATAAACTTTGTGGCAAGTTTTTCAAGATGAATAACTTTTTCTATTTCTGAATTTTTTTGCTTGATAAGTTTCAGCAAACTAGGAAGCTTTGGTTACAGTTTTAT